CGCAATGTTTTGAAGTTGATGTGACCTAAGCGTGCATGCCATAAAGTGTTTGACTCAAGTAAGTAAGAAGAACCATTAACTTTATTGATAGGAACTGCTATTACATTTAGCTTAAAAAGGCCCTCATTCAGGTAACCTTTTCCTACATACACATCATTCTTACTTAGTACAACACTATTAGAAACAAAAATACATTTGAATCCATTCTTGACAAGAAGTGAGGTAGACACAAGATTCTTGCGAATTTCTGGAACATGGAGGACTTGGTTTAGAGTCACAATTTTTCCCGACGTCATCTTCAATGCAATCTTGCCAACTCCTTCAATTTTGGCTGTAGACGAATTTCCCACGAAAATTATTTCGTCGGGTCCTGCGGGGGCATAGGAAGAAAATAACTCCTTGTTAGCATAAACATGGCGGGTGGCCCCAGAATCAATCCACCATTCTTTAGGATTTCCTACCAAGTTGCATTCAGACAACATGGCACACAAGTCCTCCATTTCTTCAGCATTTTCAACCATGTTAGCTTGATTCTTCTTCTTCTTCTTATCATTCTTTGGTGCACGACAATCCACGGCCTTATGCCCAGATTTTCCACAGTTGTGGCAATTACCTTGAACTTTTTCTTGCTTGGGTAATTCTTTGGTCCAGAAGCCTTCTTTCTCTTCTTATTTTGTGGCGCCTCCTCAACAATGTTAGCCTTTATTATTGTCGAGTTTCCACGTGACTTCTTTTCAGCATTTTTGTTGTCTTCCTCTATCCTCAAACGAACAATCAAGTCTTCAAGTGTCATCTCCTTCCGCTTGTGTTTTAGATAGTTCCTAAAGTCTTCCACAACGGAGGTAACTTCTCAATGAAAGCGGCGACTTGAAAGGCCTCATTTATGACCATACCTTCAATAATAAATTCATAATTAATAACAAGATAAATTTTATTAATAAAATTATTGATTCGGGTCATACCTTTAGCAAGGAGGTCATGCACAATGACTTGTAATTCTTGGACTTGAGTTATGACCGACCTAGTGTCAATCATCTTGAAATTCAAAAACCTTGCAGCCACGAACTTCTTAAGTCCGGCATCCTCAGTATTGTACTTTTTCTCAAGCGCATTCCATAACGCTTTTGAAGTTTCCATGACACTATAGACATTGTACAAGCTATCTTCCAAACAACTCAAAATGTAGTTTTTTCACAAGAAATTAGAATGTTTCCATGCTTCAGTTACAACAAATCGTTCGTCATCCGGAGTGTCTTCAGCCAGGACCAGAGGATCCTCTTTGATGAATAGCTGCAAACTCAATGTAGTAAGATAGAAGAGCATCTTCATTTTCCAACGTTTGAAGTCAATACCGGAAAACTTTTCGGGTTTTTCTGCTGGTGCCATAGCATGAGCAGGAGTTGAACGGCTTGACGAGGCAGCAACCGTAATAGTAGCACCCGTTCCCGCAACATTTCCATTAGATTGGTTTTCATTCGTCATGTTTCTGTAGAGTTGGAAACAAAATAGAACTTTGTTAAATCAGTGAAGTTTTGATATCTTCAAACTGAATACCAAATCAAACATACAACACGTAACAATGGTGAAGTTTTTATATATTTCAAACCCGTACGTTTATTATTCCGGTAAAGTTTTGATATACTTTTAATCGGACAGAACAATTATTGGAGTAGAAAGTACGAAGGCTTTAGTCTCCAAACCAGTATACAAAATATAGATAACAATTTAATATATATTTCAACACAGAAACGTTAGATAAAATTCCTTAAGCTTGTTAAAGCTTCTGTGTTAAAACATAAAATTAGAAAGACTGTTAGAAGAAAAAACTGGACAACTGTAAACTATAAGAAATATTCCGAGTCCACAATTTGCTTGTGCGTCCTTAGGGAATTTTAACCCCTCACACGTTGCCAAGGTAATGGATTAAATACTCCCAGTATGAAACGGAATAAACCTTCCTGCAACAGTTACAATACAAACTGCAGGATACCAACGAACTCAAAGAACAGAGCAAAATCACACTTACGAATTTAGAAGAGATTCTGAAGAGAATGCAGGATTTTTCAGAAGGAAAGAAGTTCTGTAATTTTTTAGTGAATGAAAAAGAAGCCATGCCTCAGTATTTATAGGCAATTATCGGAAGAGGTGTGATGTCTGTTCAGGAAAAAGTATCTGTTCGGAGGGAAAATTCCGTTAAGCAACGTTCAGCAAAGGCTCGGCTTAATTCCGTTAAGCAATGTTCAGCAAAGGCTTAATTCCGTTAATGAAATGACTGGCATTTAATTATTTATTAAATAATTAATTAAATAAATTTTGTCCAAAAAATAATCTTATTGATCATTTGACAAATCCAAATCCAAATCCAAATCCAAAGCCAAAGCCAAAGCCGAAGCCGAGTGAGCGACGGCGACGACGCGAGGGTTCTTTCTCTTCAACTCCTTTTTTAAGAGCTCTAAGAAGTGATCCTATATATATACACACAAATGTAGTTGTCCTTCACCAATGAGGGACAAAGTTCATTTGACAAAGCTCACTTGATTCAAATTTTCCAAATTTTTATTTCCCTCCATTTTATTTCCCACCATTTCCCAATTCACACTTCTAGTCTTTAAAGCCCAATGGCTTAAAGTCCAACAATATACCCGTATGAATCCACATACCTCTATTAGTCAAAGATCTACAATCACAAGATACAAGTGTTAGTATTCTGCATTCGAAAAATATATTAAGAAATAGAAACAATGTAAAACGAAATGTTGAAGAACAGAATTAATCCGAGCACACTGAATTCACAGTGTTTCTTTAAGGAACTTAATCCCCTCCTAATACTCAAGGTTCAGGAGTTGATTCCGGCAGAACCGGAACATCCTCCTTGATAAACTTTTGTATACTCAAAGTAGTCAAATAGAAGAACATCTTTAATTTGTTGCCAACGTTTGAAATCAAACCCTAAAATTTTTTTGGGCTTTTCTGTCGGAGCCGGTGGTGGCATAGAACGACTGGAAGTAGCAACATTGCTCGTAGAGGCAACCATGAGGGTTCCCGTTTCTGTCATTTCTGTTAATCACAAAAACAAAAACAAAATTAGTTAACAGTAAAGTATTTAAAATCTTCAAATCGAATAACTTTAACGGAAACAGATCAAATACCACGGTGAAGATTTTATTTTCTCGAACCGAATACAGAACGAGTAGAAAATCACAAAGATTTTAATCTCGTAATGTCAACCAAGGAGTAAAAAATCCTAAGATTTTAGTCTCCAAAATGAGAGTAGAAATCACTAGGATCATATCTCCCACAAACAGAATATACGATGAATACAGAAAAATAAAAATTAAGTTTCTTAAGCTTGTTAGTATTCTGTATTCGAAAAATATATTCAAAACTAGAAATAATGTAAAACCAGAAATGTAGAAGAACAGAATTAATCCGAGCCCACTGAGTTAAAAATATTTTCTTAAGGAACTTAATCCCCTCCTAGTACCCGGGGTTTAGGATTATTTCCTCCCAGGATAAAACGGATAACCTCACTTTAGCGGTATTTCAAACCCCAGCGACCAATGAACTCAAAGGACAGTAGTAAATCACATTTACTGCTTTCGTTTCTGTTAAAATAATGCATAAGGAAGAAGGAGAAATTAGAATTTTCGTAAGGAAAATCTGAGGGAGAGTTCATGTAAGACTGCAACTCAAAATGGTTGTTTTATAAAACAGCCATTTACGCAAACTGCCAAATTCAAATTAAAACGGAAAAAATGGAGGAAAAAAAAATTAAATTAACGTTACAGAAACGGTCTAATTTGGATTAAAAAATATTGCGTTAATATTAGCAAAAAAATTTTGTCCAAAAAATTAATCAATCAAATAAATTGACCGAAGCCGAAGCCAAGTCGAGCGAGCAACGATGACGACGACCCGATGCTTGCTTTCTTCTCAACTCTTTAAGAGTTAGAAGAAGTGCAATTGCATATATACTCATCAAAACTCTTTTCCTCCTCTATATGGGACAATATCCCTTTGTCAAAGAGGGAAATTCAAAAAATTTCATTTTCGCTCCATTTCCCATTCACTCTATTTTAAGCTTGAAGAAGCTTAAACCCAACAATCTCCCACATGAATGGGGAATAGTTATAAAATATACATGAAAAAACTATGTGACTTACAAGCAAGGATTAATTGCATCTGGATAAATAGGTTTCCCTTTGAACTTTCTGTAATGAACTTATGTCGGATATACTCGATCAATCGATAGATTTGATACCTTTGAACCATCGAACTTTGGTGTATGCCTAGACAACCATAAGTCACACAATCAACCATTAACCGTCTTTGTATAATTACAATATTGTATAATTACTATCTTAGTAGTTATACCAATTCCAATTAGCTGGTGACTTTCCAAATAAACCCTTACATATTTTGACGCAATTCAACAAGTTATGTATGTTTTTTTAAAGTACTCTTTCGAGTCATGTAAAGGTCCATTCAGATTTGAAGATGATAAATAGTACTCCCTCCGTTCCAGTTTATGTGAACCTATTTCCTTTTTGGTCCGTTCCAAAAAGAATGACCCCTTTCTAAATTTGGAAGCAATTTAGCTTAAACTTACAATTCTACCCTTAATGAGAAGCTTTTATAACCACACAAATACTCCGGGCCCCTTTTTAACTTGTTTAGGACCACAAATTCCAAAAATCTTTATTTTTTCTTAAACTCTGTGTCCGGTCAAACAGGTTCACGTAAATTGGAACGGAGGGAGCATTGAGAAAGAGGATATTGAATGCCACGCGGTTTTGTGAGGCGGAAAAAGATAAAAGAAATTAAGGATTTAAATTAAAAGCATAAACAAAGAGCTGACTTTTTGCAAACAAATGAGTAAATGCTAATTGCTGTCATTTTGACTCTTTTTGTTGGGGATAACCCTTTCACCTCTTCATCTTTGGTCAGCGTAAACATCACCTTGGTCTTTTCTCCCTTTGTATATATATAGACAAGAACCCCCTTTGTCTTAGATGCTATATATTGTCTCAACATTTCTTTCATATCACAAGAAGATAAACAAAGTACTTTATTTGTTTCACACTTGAACTCCTCAAAAAGATTTCTAATAAAATGGGAAGGCCACCTTGTTGTGATAAAATTGGTGTGAAAAAAGGACCATGGACACCAGAAGAAGATATCATTTTGGTATCATATATTCAAGAACATGGTCCTGGCAACTGGAGAGCTGTTCCTACTAATACTGGTAAACATCCTAATCTAACTTCTTCTTCTTCTTTTTCATTTTTTCTTTTTCTGGGCTTTTGGGGTTGGTTAAAATCATTAAATATGTGTAGTTAATATTCTGCAGCTCTATCACCTCCTTCTTGAATGAATACATCGATCTCATTAATTAGATCAACTTTTTGTATATCACAACCTTTTGTTTAAAAAAATAAAATCTTTCTTGGTTTTTTCAGGATTGCTTAGATGCAGCAAGAGTTGCAGACTTAGATGGACTAACTATCTGCGTCCAGGCATCAAACGTGGCAACTTTACCGAGCATGAAGAGAAAATGATTATTCACCTACAAGCTCTTCTTGGCAACAGGTACTAAATCAATCTCTAAACAAATTTTTTTTTGGGTTTCTAGGGCTAAAGTCTAGGGCAGACGGATTTGAACTCAATATTTTCGACAAGGAACATACATATATTGACAAGAAAAAACCACTATAATTTTGACAATACCTTATATTTATAAACAATAAATTTAATGTTAAGAATCTTTAAATTAAGTTGAATCCATCAATTTTTACAATATCTCAATAGAGATATTTACTTGTTCAATTTTCCAGTAGGTATGGTTGGATCTTATATCATTTATCTAACTCTTGTCACTTTTTTTTGGTTCTTTTTGACATAGATGGGCAGCCATAGCTTCATATCTTCCACAAAGAACAGACAATGACATAAAAAATTACTGGAATACTCATTTGCAAAAGAAGCTTAAGAAGATTCAAGGTCATGATCAAAAGGGAAAATCATCGTCATCATCATCTCAATCAATCTCAAAAGGACAGTGGGAGAGGAGACTTCAAACAGATATCCACACAGCTAAACAAGCTCTTTGTGATGCTTTATCCCTTAACAAAAAAACCACTGATTTCTCACCAAATATTAATCCTAGTACTAATTCTTTTCCTGTCCAAACATCTACTAATACCTATGCGTCTAGTGCTGATAACATCTCTCGATTGCTTCAAAATTGGATGAAAAACTCCCCTAAATCATCTCAAAGCATATCTAATAACTCAATCACTAGTCAGAGTTCTTTCAACAATTTATCAATCGGGACGGGTTCGAGTTCTAGTCTTAGTGAAGGAACCCTGAATGCACCAACACCAGAAGGATTAGACTCACTCTTTAGCTTCAATTCATCTTATAATTCTGATGTTTCTCAGTCCATGTCGGCGGACGAGGTTGTTGCTTTCACACCTGAGAATGCTGGAATTTTCCAAGTCGAAAGCAATAAACAATATTTGCCAAATTTCAAGGATGAAAATGGATTTTTATTCCAAGAGGGAATTAGCAAACAAAATTTGGAGACAGAAGTACCCTTAACTTTGCTGGAAAATTGGCTTTTTGATGATTCTAATGTACAAACACAAGAAGAGCTAATGGGAATTGGAATAGGCATGGAATGGCTTTGAGTAGAACGGCTGATTTGTTTTGAGGAAATATAATCTTGAAGAAATAATGAAGGATATATTTCTTCAAAACAAATATTGGCAGTTTTGGTTCTTTTTGCTATTTTCAGGTTGCTACTTGTTAGGCTTTGGACTGTATAGGTTTTAATCAATTTCTAGCCTCAGTAGAAACTTGTTAGAAGAGCATAAGAAAGTGTAACTATATATGTAACCTTAAATCAGCATATGTACTAGATAGAATTAATAAAAGCAGTACTCTATGCTAAGAGCTTCAACTGTTTGTACTTTATGCTCCACTTTTTTTTTGGTTGCTCAACTTTTTGGGTATCATGTGAGAAATGAGAATTAGGGTTTGACTTCAGATGATTCCAAAGTTCCAATGAAATCATCAACATACAAAAATGACGGGAGTTTGTTTTCATATATCTTGCCTCCCTGGCATGATGGCATATACATCTTTATTTTCACCACGTAGTTTTGACCACAAAAAAAAATGAAGAATATTTTCATCGTATACAGAGCACATATAGCATCATTGTTCATTATTTTCTAGTTATCAGATGAGTGTACCCTATATGCATAATTGCACATACTGGACAGGATTCTGCTCATTTACCCAGTTGCTAAAAATAATCTTAATTAAATTGAAATGAGAAAAAGCCATGGATGCAGTGATAGACCCACCCTTGTCGAAGGAGTGTAAATTGACACACCAACGGCTAAAAATAACACCGTGTAGATGAATAAGTTATATACGTCATACATATTACTACATACGTTGAATTTCCTTAATTTTTTTTTTATGTATTACTTATTTATATTTTGACGTTCTTAATGAATTTTCTAATTTCACCGCTGCTTTGAGAGTTTAATCATGAGTAACAAAATTTTAAGTCCAGAGAACAAGATTAAGGAATTACGTATTGCTTTTTGTTTACCCTAAAAAACAGATAACAATTAAATTTGTAAGTGGTTTTAAAGATACGTGGATTAATGCGATACAAACGGTAAATTGCGTTAAATTAAACAGATAAAGGTATAGTAAATTATCAAACCACTTGAGGAGGATGGTTCCAGCCTTAAAGAAATATCCACCCTCGTTCCGGACTCACAATGGCCAACACTGATGAACCAGAATAAGAATTTTCAATAACAGAGAAAATAACAGTATATAGCCTTTGTATGTGTGCGTTACAATGTGTTCAATGAATAATCAGACTCCCTTTATATAGTAGGGGAGCTTCATCCTAAGTACAATTCTATAAAAGGTAAAAAATCTTCCGTTTAACTAATCGCCGGTTCTTTATCGATACGTGCCGAGATGCACGCCATGATATCCGGCCGGTTGCAGATATCACGGCCTTCTGTTGGTCGTGCTTGGTTGCCCGACAACGTTCTCCGAAGTCTTTTGGGATTTGGACCGATCCCGGATCATGACCCCGATATTCTCGAGGGTGGGCATCATGCCCTCGGACTCTAACTCGATGAGACCCTTGCCTCGATTCCGGTTCCTTGTCATTATGTCTCTAGCTTGATTTATCTTATTGGAAGCCGGGGTGTACCATGAGCTCGGTTTTAACCGTATACACTTTTATTGAGTGTCTAAACCTTTCTGCAAAATGTTGCACCGTGTCGACAATGTTAGGGTTAATTAAGTTGAAATAGTTTCATGAGGGAGTCTACTTGCCATTTATTTGACTAAGAAATTAACATCTTGATAGTATAGTGAACTGGTGTGACCAATCACTTTTAATAATTGTATACGGTAAAATCATGTGCCCCGATTTTGTGGGCCTGAAGGCTCACAACGAGGAACAGAAGGTTCGCGTCGAGGAATAGACTCACTATGGACCGAGTTCGAGCCCGGAGGTAGAACACGAGGATCGAAGATTTAAGTGTTCGAGGAACGTCGGGACCCAGTGTGATCAACCCCGAGATAATGCCGTATAAGTTTGTAACAGAATGAGCAAGATTCCTGCCACGTCCCCAAGATCATGGCATAAATTTTGGAATAGATTTGTACGAATCCGTACTAGGCGTTTAGACAGCTGTCCCAATAAGATTCTTTACTGTAAATAGAAATGTACCTTATTTAGGGTTCCCTTATTATATAAAGGGGACCCCAATCATTTTGTAACGATCATCAATCATTGGCAAAAGAATACATTCTCTTACTTTCTCGCTCATTGTTCATCAAAATTGTCCTTTAACTTTATTGTTCTTACTTTTCTGTTCTTGGCCTACCTTGAGGCCACCGTAGCTCGGGGTCGAGACTGGCTTGCACGCTGGTTTGATTTTACTTATTTCCTTCATCTATACGTTAGTCTTCTTGGTTATTAATTAGTATTGAACTAAATCACATATCTTTAAAATCATAAATCAAGTTTAATTGTTACTCGTATTTTCGAGGTAAACAGTTTGGTGCCCACCGTGGGGCTAAAGATAATAGTGATTATTTCAGTACTGATTTTGATAACACATGTTATTTTCACACTTGTTCTTGTCAAGAATTTTTGTTCTCAGGTTAAAACATGTCAAACTCGCAAAACGCACCTGTACACAGCGACGAGGGTCTTGGATTTCATGGGAAAAACAACAATATAGGGGTCGGTGTACCACCGATTAACCCTGGGGAAGTGCCAAATGTGGAACCAGTCGATGTTAGTTCACACATTGCTTTGAATGCGGATTTAGGCGCAGATCTCGGAGGAAGTGTACGCAGGGAAGCCCGATCTGGTGGCCAAGGAACACAGGGTATAGGAGATGGGGGAGTCAGCCTCCAAGTAATATTCGAGATGCTATAAGCTCAACAGGTTGCTATCGCTCAGCTTCAAAGTCAGCACAAAACTCCAAGTATACCAGAAAACACTCGACGTACTGAGCCGATACCGGAAAGATCAAACAGTAATGGCTTGGGAACTGATCCCACAATTATGAGGATGCTCGAGGAACTCACCAAGAGAATCGAGTCCGGGGAGAAGAAGACTGAGGATAATGACAAAAAAGTGGAGACTTATAAATCCCGTGTTGATTAAATACCGGGGCACCCCCGATCTTGAAAGGTTTGGATGCCAAAAAATTCATACAAAAGCCATTCCCTCCGAGTGCGGCTCCGAAGCCCATTCCTAAAAAGTTTCGCATGCCCGATATACCTAAATACAATGGGACAACCGATCCTAATGAACATATTACCTCATACACTTACGGGATTAAAGGAAACGACTTGAATGATAATGAGATCGAATCAGTATTGTTGAAAAAATTTGGGGAGAACTTTGTCTAAGGGAGCCATGATTTGGTATCACAACTTGCCACCGAATTCTATCGATTCGTTTGCTATGTTAGCAGACGCCTTCGTGAAAGCACATGCCGGGGCCATATAGGTGGCGACAAGGAAATCAGACGTTTTTAAGATAAGGCAGAGGAACAATGAGATGCTAAGGGAGTTCGTATCTCGGTTTCAAATGGAGCGAATGGAATTACCGCCGGTCTCGGATTATTGGGCAGTACAAGCTTTTATGCAGGGTTTAAACGAGCAGAGTTCGATCGCGTCATGACAATTGAAGCAAAATCTGATCGAGTACCCAGCTGTGACTTGGTCAGACGTACATAATCGTTACCAATCGAAGATCAGGGTCGAGGACGGGCAGTTGGGAGCCCCCTCGGCTCAGTTCATCCTATAGATTGGCAGTTAAGGCCTAGAGGGATACAGATAGGGAACCAAGATCAAACAAGGAACGGTATCAACCGTATGTCGATCGGAGAAACAACGGTTCGGGGCGTAACGCTCATCGGAACGATCGAAGAAATGATCGAGGTCAAAGCTCTCGGGGACTTATGAGTAAGAATGGTTTTGATAAACATACCGACCCCGTGGAAGCACCTCGGTTGTCGGAGTATAATTTCAGTGTAGATGCATCGGGGTTCGTGTTAGCTATTGGGAGAATCAAAGACACCAGGTGGCCCAGGCTTATACAAACCGATCCTTCTCAAAGGAATCCAAACTTGATGTGTAAGTATCATGGCACACATGGCCATAGGACCGAAGACTGCAGGCAGCTAAGGGAGGAGGTAGCTCGATTGTTCAACGAGGGTCATCTTCGAGAATTTCTTAGTGATCGAGCTAAGAACCACTTCAGGGAAAGAGATACAAACAGAAAAAATGAGCAGGAAGAACCGTAACACGTAATTCATATGATCGTTGGCGGTGTTGATGTTCCTCAAGGGCCTATATTCAAATGCACCAAGGTGTCAATCACCAGAGAAAAACAGACTCGGAGCTATATGCCCGAGGGCGTCCTATAATTCAATGACGAGGAAGCGGAAGGCATATCTCAGCCGCATAATGACGCCCTGATAATTTCTATTTTGTTAAATAAAATTCAAGTTAAACGTGTTCTAGTGGATCAAGGTAGCTCAGCAAACATAATCAGATTGAGGGTCGTAGAGCAGCTCGGCCTATAGGACCAAATTGTACCTGCATCTTGAGTCCTAAATGGCTTCAACATGGCAAGCGAAACAACGAAGGGGGAAATAATCCTACCAGTGAACGTGGCCGGGACCATCCAAGATACGAAATTCCATGTCATCGAAGGCGACATGGGATATAATGCACTTCTCGGCATGCCATATCCACAACATGAGGTCAGTACCTTCAACCCTTCATCAGATGATAAAATTCCCAACAGTGGATGGTGTGAAAACGGTTTATAGAGAACAACACGCTGCAAAGGAAATGTTTTCGGTCGAGGAGGTGATACCGGTACCAGTGCCATCGACCTCAGAAAAGTCAAGCACCAAATATAAGCAGACGGCCAAATAGAAATCACCGTCCCCAGCCTTGACCGAACCGGAGGAATAGGTAATCGAAGAAGAAGAAGAGGATTTCCTTACTCCTCGAACTTTTATTCCTCCCGAAGAGTCAGATGCAACCAAGTCAACGGTCGAGGAACTGGAACAGGTCATACTGATCGAGTATATGCCCGAGAAAAAGGTATACCTGGGAAAAGGGTTTACCCCCGAACTAGGAAAAAACTCATTCAATTTCTTATCGATATTATGGATTGTTTTCCTTGGTTCCATTTAGACATGACAGGGATCCCACCGGAAATAACAACACACCGGCTAAGCCTTGACCCCAGGTTCAAACCAGTAAAGCAAAAAAGGAGGCCCCAGTCCAAGGTGAAGCATGCATTCATAAAGGATGAGGTAACTAAACTTCTTAAAATAGGGTCTATTCGGGAGGTAAAATACCCCGAATGGTTAGCCAGCGTGGTTGTAGTCC